AAATGAGGAGCTGATGCCAGGGGCTTAAGTGGAGGGAAAATGTTTTGAGAATGATGCGGGCAATGAATGTACAAATGTGCTTTACACAATTGATGGATGTATGGATTGTGGTAAGAGTTGTGTGAGCCCCTAATAAAATGATTGAAAAAGAAAAGAAAACCAAGACTACGTTTTTTGTCTTCACAATGCCTCACACTGGATGGAGCTGAATGAATGGGTGGATTCTGCGGCCCGTTCCCCCATTCTCATATATCAGTTCAACAGCCACCTCCTCCCTGCTAGACCCCCTGATTGCCCTGTGAGTACTGTTGGTTGCTTTATTAGGCTTCCCCAATAGCTTCATCTTCTTCCCCCTCTCATTCTCTCTTCTTTTACACCTCAGGACTCTACAGCCTGGGAAAGGAGTCCCTGTTGGAGCAGCTGGCCCTGGAGTTTCGGACGTGGGTAGTGCTGAGCCCTCGGCGCCTGGAGTTGGTGCAACTGCTGGGCCTGGCCGATGTGTTCACAGTGGAGGAGAACGCTGGCCGCATCCATGCTGTGGACCATACAGAGATCTCCCGCATCACCATGCTGCACTGGAATCAGACCCAGCCTACCATTGCTATCCTCCCCACCAGCAGGAAAATCCACCGCTCCCACCCTGGTATCCACGTCATCCCATACTCTGACCATTCCTCCTACACCGAGCTCCGTGCCTTTGTGGCTGCCCTTAAGCCTTGCCAGGTGATGCCCATTGTTAGTCGACAGCCTTGTAGTCACTACTTTCAGGACCACCTGAGCCCCAGGCTCTCTCTGCCCCTGATTCCAGACTCTGTGCAGCAATACATGAGTTCTTTCTCTAGAAAACAGAGCTTCCTGTGGCTGCTGAAAAGGCGGCTAGAAAAGCCTCGGACCCAGGGCATTGTGTTTGAACCCCTGAAGGACAGTGCTGCTCAGTGTCAACCTGACAGGGACCCCAAGAAGGTCAAGAAAGAGAACCTTCCTCCTGCTTTGCAGATCAAGAAGCGGTTGTTGCCAGGCCTCTGCAGCATAGACTGGCAGGGGCTGGTCCCTTTCTCCAGGTCTGTGGGCGTGTCCAGTGTAGTGTCTTCCCCCTCAGGCTTGTTGGTGCAAGATGAAAAGTTTAACTCTCTAAAAACTGGGGAAGAACTTGGTATAGGGCCCCACTTGGGACCCAGGGCTGATGAGGATGACCCAGCAACCACAGAGACCCTGGGGCCCTGGGTTGGCCAAGATTCTGTGTCTCCCAGCCACAGGGATGCCCCTCGTGCAACTGAGTTCAGAGGCCTGGCTCTCAAATACCTCCTGACTCCAGCAGACTTTTTCCAGGCAGAGTTCTGTTCCAGGAGCTTTGACCAGCAAGTGGAAAAATACCACAGAGCCCTTGCTGAAGTGCAGAATGACAGCCTTGCTTGAACCACCCAGCAAACTGGGAGATGATGGCTGATAGCACTATTTGTTTGGGGCCTTCTTTTACTATCTTCACAGGATCCCTGAGGACTCACCCACAGCAGTACCTCCCAGTCTCTGTGGAATCCTTGCTCACGTTCTTGAAGCTGTTTGAAAAGCACTTTTCAGGATCAGCCCTTCCAGGGTCACATGAAAGGTTCTACAAACCAACTCTGTCCTTGCATTTAGCCCTGTACTTCTCAAGCCTTCCTGAGCATGCAACAGAAAGTCCCCACCAACAAGGAGCCAAGGGTTCCCACTGTTACTTTGTGCAGAGCGTCCCTTTCTCCCTCTTCCCAGATGAACCTCCCCAGGTGGTCCTGTTTTTAAGTTCAGAACTGCAGTGTGATTTGATAAAGCAGTGTCAGGGGCAGCATGTCCCAGGCCCGAGTGTCACTGACTTGCTGTGACCCCATCCAAGTTACTTCCTGTCACCGCCCTTCTGAGGGAACAGGAAGCAATGAAGAGGCCGCCTTTGACTCAGTGGTGGAAAGTTCCACATCTGACTCCAGTTTGTGTCACTGGGGCCCCTGTAGGAGCAGAGCCTGCTACAGGGGGCAGGAAGTTGGTACCCCTCACCCAGGCATTACCTGTAGCCCAGCTGAACAGTCTGGTTCCCAGCTGCCTGGAGTCCCTGACAGCGTGGCTGACAGCGAGTTACAGAAGATCAGATGTGCTGCCAGACATCCCTGTGGTTGTTCGCATATCTGGGATGTTTGCTGTCCCCCGCCCCGTTCAGGGAGCCGGAGCACACAGCCTGTTTGTTTTAGTATCCAGGGATGAGACCCGGATGCCAGCTGGCTTGAAGGGGTGGGAGTATGTGCAGTTCCCTCCTGCCCAGCTTATGACCTGACCAAATGCCAACCCCCTAAGCCAGCCAGCAGATACCACAGCCATGAGCAAATGGACTCAGAGAGGGCACGGGCTTTGGAGCTGGACACGTGAGTAAAAACAGCTTCAGAACCAAAGCTTCCACCTTAGACATAAAGACGGTGCTGGTCCTTGTCAGGTGGGGTGGGGTCTGAAGTGGGGAGTTTGCTACTTTGGAAAGGAGCTGGGAAGAGTTTAAAATGGACTACAGCCATGTTCTTGCACAAGCTGTCCACAGTTCTGTCTTGCCAGTGACCGTGACTATAAGCCTAGGGGTCGTCTACGAGAGCTGTGGCAGGAAAGCAGGAGCGCAGCCTGGGCCGATGGTTTCAGTAGTAGAACTTCAGTTCCTCACCTAAAATCTCTGCCCTTCACAGTTGCTCTGGAGATTAAATAATTGGTAAAATTCCTAGCGCAGTGCCTAGTACATGAGTGTGTGTGGTGGGAGCTGACATTGGGTCAGCCCCATTCACAGTGGCCTCTTGGGCAGCAGCGCCGTGCTTCCCAGTTCTGTGCTACCCCTTTAATCCATTGGAGATCAGCCTGTGTGATCCATAGGGTTTCCAGAAGCACATCACCCGACCTTTCTTCCTCCTCTGTTTTAGTCTGGACGCTCTCCGAAACCTGTTCAGTATCGTAGCCAACAGGCAAGCCTGTGCTGACAGAGGGGTGATGACTGCACAGGATATGCATTGATTAAGAATTGAAACCAGGGGAGGGGAGTAGAAAGACCCCCAGGGAATGATGAGGGTGGACATTGGAGACAGGGCATGGTGCCCCAACAGGCTAGACTGGAAAACACAAGTTTTT